TCACACTTCTTTTGATGCGGCCCAGGATACGGTTGGCTTTCTGGGCTGCGAGCGCACATTGCTGGATTATGTTGATCTTCTCATCCACTAATACCCCCAACTCTTTCTCCACAGGGCTGCTCTCAATCCACTCCCTGCCCCGCCTGTATTTGTGCTTGGCATTGCCCCAAACCATGTGCAGGACCTTGCACTCGGCCTTGTTGAACTTCAGCTCAATTCTAACAGTCAAAAAAATTCTAAATTTTTCTAAAATTTCTAAAAGACCTTGACGGTTCAGTCTGCTTTAATGACACAGTATGGAAGACAGGACAATTTGCAGCAAAGTTGCTTTTCACTTTGAAAACTACATATGGGCACTTTCTGAATTCAGAGTTAACTACCGTGCTTCTGGCAGTCCTCCCACTATCATTTCATGTGCATGTCTTCCTAACAACATACATCCTCCAAAGCTCTGGGTCACAAAATGCAACACATGGGGTATGTTGGGACCACTACCAGCAGCTGGCCAAAAATGCTAAGGGAAGAATTTCTTTAATGAGCGGTATTTCCCATATTCCAACACATTTTCTGACTACCCCCTATCTTGTTTGGCAGAGGCAGGAGCATCCCTTTGCCAACGAGGATTTTGCTAAATGTTTCTCTGCTCCGTGAGAGAGCAGTGTTCAAAACCTATAGCTGTAGATGGTTTTTTTCCTCCTAAATTATCAAATTCCATAGCCATTGGTCAGACACGCCGTCTCCTGCCTCATTGTACCGGAGCTGCTATCACCCTCTTCTTTATTGCCCGATCAACATTTCTTCTCTAATCACCCTCTTCCTTACTGTCTGATCTCTGTTTCTTTCTAAATATCTGCTTTACTACCATTCAAATGTGTGAATAACTTGTTTTAACATGTTTTACAAGACAGACATATTTAAGGAACCAGCAGTACTAAAACATTAGAAAAATGGAACCAGCAGTACTAAAACATTAGAAAATACACAACAGATCTCAGCTAACAATGTGCATTAAATGAGTGCATGGCATTCTCTCTCTTTTTATAATCTATACCATCAGTACTGTTAACCCCACCTACTAAATCCACAGACACACACCTAGCATCTGTATGAAAGGAAAATGAGCTAGAAAACACCTTGTAACCTCAGAAAAAGAGAAGATGGGGATGGTATGACAGATTCATAAAGAAAAGCAGTATTTCATCCTTGTAACCGTGGAATCCAGTTTTGTAATAATAATTGTTTGTGCTGCTGACTTCCTTCAACACCTGTGACCCTGCTTGTCACGGCCTCATTGCCTGCTGGAAACTTGGCAAAAGACAAGAGAAGAGATATTAGGGAACCAATGCTACATCCTGAGAGAGGCCATAAAGTCCAAAGGTTGAACAGAATTGCCAGGAGCAGTCTGATAAACTAAGGAAGTATGTGGCTCTGAAGAGACAAACTGCTGTGCCCAAGTACAATATGTTCAAACTCTGTGAGCTGCACCCCAACGTCTCGCACGCTCGAAAGAGCACGCTATCCAGGGACTTTTCCCAAGCAGCCCCCTTGAAAAAGAATTATTTTAAGCCCCTTTCTGAAATGAGTATGTGAGCACTCAGTGCACCACACATGCCAGAATTTCACAGATCTTAAATCTGAAAAGCACTCCTCTTTATTTTTTCAAATTAAGCTAGGATGATTTGTTGATTTAATAAAAAGAAAAAATCCCGTGTAAAACCCCTTCTGAATTAGCATATTCAAGCCTTTTCCAAAATCTGGCTCCAGTAAAGAACTTGTCCTTAAAAATCTATCAGACTGTAACTAAGCTTGTAACTTGGCATGTGAAATAAATAAGCCAATAATCAGATCCCTCAGAAATTTTCAATTAAACCTGTAAAAATAGCTAATAAAATACTCAGCATTTGAAGAGTTTTTATTCAGGAGGAGAGTACAGCAGCTTCGGTTTCATGTAAGGAAGAGCATGGGGCATTAATAACCAAGGTCTTTTTCCCCTCTTTCCTAGCCACCACTCACTCAGTTACACTAGCACAACTTTTTGCGAAGCCACACTGTAAATCCGAGCAGAAAACTCTTTTCTGGCTTTCAGAACAAATCAAACCAAGAACACAGCATGGCCCCCACAAAGAACTGAGCAAGCACAAGCAAAGAGGCAGCGCAGGAACGGCAGCCAGGGGAGGGAGGAAAAAGGACGTGAGCTGCTTTGAGCTCATATTGCTGCTGAGTACTTTCTATTATAAAACCATAACCTAATATGCTTTCAAGACTACAGCTCTGAACCGCTTCGCATGGTGCACCTCCTTCCCTATGTGGGACCCTACAGGGATCTATACCGTTGCAGAAATGTGCCTGCGCAGAGAGGCTTGCAGGCTCAGACACTGCACTCTATTATACTTCTCATTATTCACTGCTTATTCACTAAACGAGAGGACAACCCCAGCAGTTCTTGTAAACACAACAGCTTCCTTGAGAAGCAACAGCAAAATCCATAAGTACGGCTCTCCTTGTAAGTAAAATGCCTGTCTTGGGAGGGCTGTCCTCCCTGGGGAGCCCCGCTGTGGGAAGCGGGAGCAAGGAACTGCCTTTTTAGGACTGTGGCTGAGCAGAGCCGGGAAGCGCTGGGGCAGGAACAGGGCTCCCGCAGCAGCTTGCTGGCCTTATATGGAGAAAGCCAGGTATTTTCCCAGCTCCGTACTGGGAGCTGCACAGCCGGAGCAGCAAGGTAAGGTGAGGCAGGGCTCCCCAGCAAGGCTTGGCCAGCCACCGGCCAGGGGGGCCCTCGGCCACAGCCGCACTCCTGCTCGGTGCGGACCTACAGCCCTGGTGTCTTCAGCCTCCGAGCATTTCAAATAGGCCTTATTAGGAAGCAGAGAAACTTAATTAATTGAAAGATCGTTTTCAGATCTGTAAAGCCAGATGGTTTGTGGGTGAACCGTACTTGATTTTAATGTGACATTTTAAGGCATGCAAGGCAACGTTTTGGAGCACGAGTCTCTAATGTCAGGCATCTTTTTAGCTACCTACATAAGAGGGCAGGTTTTCAGAGGTGATGAACAACTGGATTTTCTGAAGACTTTGACAGAAGAGGCAGGACACTCAAAGCCTCAGACACTCAGCAATTTGTTTAAGCATGCTTCAGGAACAACATGATTTAAGACTCCTCCCCAGTTGCCTAAAAATAAGGCTGCTTGACAGAAAAGCAACAAGGTTTTAGTTTCATTCAGTTTAAGTTACGTATCTTTTTATTAGCTGTTTTATTTTCCTAGGGAGCAAAACAAACTAAACCACTTCAGGCCAAATCCATCTATACGGGACATATGTGTAAGCACCCCTGACCATGAACTGTCCCATATTGTTGCTCTTTTTACTTTCCTGACTCATGCTTTTAGAAGTAAAAAGAGGAGGCTGTGAGTAAAATAGGAAGAAAGTACAATTTTTCCCCAACAATATCCATTTTTAAATTTGATTTTTAAATCTTTCTCAGAAAATGGCAACAAAAATGGAGTGTCCTTGAATATTTTTCTTTGGAGAAAAAAAATAATAATTTTCTTTTAGATATGGTTAAGAAAAATAATTTACAGTGTAACATTAAAATGAGACCCATCCAGGCACCCATCCAGACTACCCATCCAGGAATGAATCCAGCATCCCAGTTCTGAATATCAAATGGTATATTGAAATTCAAAGAATTACCCATACATTTTGCCATCTTAGTTTCTTGAGGTTAAACTTAGATAACTGCCTGCCTTGAGATGCTGAATAGTGTAGGTTTAACTGAAAGCAGCAACTTTTAACCTAGAGATATGAGAGTGGCTTGATAGTTTTGATCTGTACTACTTTTTAAATCCACAGACAAGCGTCTGCTCTACATCACAAACTACTGCCATCATTAGTGCCGTCAGGTAATAATCGCAGCAGGAAGACCAAAACTTTGATTAATCTTGCCACATCCCACTTGCAACATATTGGCAAGAAAACATGGGGGGGAGTACTAATTACCCATGGATAATCACAGGGCATCCGTTTCTAGGATTCCTTATGAGAGGCCCATCAGGAGAAACGAAGCCACAGACAACATAAAAATTACATTAAACAACTGAAAAATATCTAGATACACAACAAACTTACTCAGTATGAGCTCAGATACGCCTAGGACTTTCTCCAGTTGTTGACTGGGCTGGGATTACATTTCAATAGCTCCAAAGGAGCACTAGGGTAAGACTACTTTCAAAAAAGGCATAGAAGTTTTGACACCAGGTTTCATATTGTAAATTTCTCCTTTAAAATAACTTGCTTGCCAAAGCAGTTCAGCTGCCAGAAAGGGAGAAAAGCAGGCAAACTATTCCCTTAAAAGCAATGACTGTGCTATGCTGCTCAGGTACATGAGGCATTGCTCCAGAACTAGGGAACGTTGGCTCATTAGAAGCAATTAAAAAAACTCTGAGGGGATTTTAAAAACAACAACTTCCAAAAACAAAACATGCATATATACCACATGCATTTGTTTATGCAGCTGTAATGAGTGATGAAATCCATTTATGAGCTGAAGTCACAAGATTCTAAGCAGGTCTTTGTTTAATCTCAGTAAGTCATGACATTTCCCTACTACTTATAATAATGTGATTTGGATCAACATTTTCAAACTTATGCACCTGGTTTTTAACAGTGCTTACCAATTGCATTTCTCATCTGCTTTGCTGGAGACTGAACAGTTACTTCTGAGCCACCGCTTTGATTAAGCTTCCTAAAGACAGATATAGAAACCTTGTTTTAGTTTAACATACGCCTGTAATTCTTGGAATTCAGCATATATTCTGCAATTCTTGCTCAAACTGAGACTCCCTGCAACCTGCAAAGAGTGTAAATAAAAATCAATGAGACCATTAGTGAAATGACTACTTACAGCATCAGCCCTTCTACAACCACAAAGTCTATCCAGATGGATGCCCTTAAAAGATTTAAGAAGGTTTGCTATAGACAATGGCTTTTGTTCCAGCATGTTGCTGTGACTTGGAAGAATAAAATGAAAATAAATGCAGCTGTTTGCTGCTTACCTTAATGCAGCATTAGTGCCCTGAGTAACAAAGGTAGGACAGAGTATGCAGGGAAAAAAAGATTCAGCACAAATAACTATTAAGTTACATGTTTTGTGTATTTATAAACTGTGCTAGGCTTTAGATGTATTATCATATAGCTTTAACAGTATATGAATCAGTAATCCTGCATATAAATCAAGACCACAGTTTTAGCTTTGATATTAAGGAGAAAAAAAAAAAAGAGGAAAAAAAAAGTTACTTGCCACTGCTGCTCTTGCCATTACACTTCTATTAGCTATGCAAACACATCTGATGTTTTGTGAGGATCAGATCAAATCTAAATGAATCTAGGTCCACTGTTAATCTAAACAGAGTGCCTTTTTTATATTTCTTTTAATAAGGGAGAAAATATTAGACTCCTGATCTGAACGAATAGTCAATTTACATAATGCACAAGAGCAAGACGTCCCAGACGTAGGAAAAATTCTCTTAGCCTTTAAGGTCTGAAGGAAAGTGTTACTGTCTACAGCCATTCTCCACTTTGTTTCTCATGTTTGGCTCATTCATCTACTGCTCTCCAGAGTCCCAAATGAGCCAGGAGAACTGGTGGATTTTACAGCATGTCACCAAATCAAGATGGCAGAAGAATATAAGGAAAATGCAAGGATCTTTCACCTAGAACGTCTTGTTCCAAGCAACCTCTTGCTTATACGCAAAGCATATAGTACAAGACAATTTCTTCAGCAGCTTGGACCCAAACTCAGGAAGGTTCTAAAAAGGCCAAAGCCAAATATGCCTAACCAGCAAAGTCAATGTGTCACCTAACTGGCACAAACAAAGTATGTTCCTATACCTCGCATTTTTTACAATTATTTTTGTTGATGTAGGAAAATAATATGCGCTACTGCCAGTGTCTTTCCCGATGTGAAAAAAAGTCCTAAAACAATCATCAACATGAGGCAGCCAGGGAAGCACTGGAATTCCTGAGATGGAAAGTGGCACTTTTTCTGCCATTTTCAGATACACGCATCTATTGGATGTTTTTTATATTACACACAAGTACTACATGGGGTTGGGAAGAGAGACGACATTCTCAGCAGGACAGTATAAACACTTTGTTACCTTCCATTTTCTTAGGATGGCTGCATCACTCCAGTAAAAAAGTCACACATTGTATACAAGCCATAGCAAACAAGACTCTGTAATATTCTTAATGCCACGTCAATTTATATATGCTAGATATATTCATGGGAAAGTAAACTCAGATGCAATCTTCCTACCTACATTCTAAATCTATAGGGATTATATTTTATATTCCCCCATTTCCAAAGTCCTGTTCAGTTATTTTCCTTTAGCTTTTGGGGATCTACTATACCAGTGTGCCAGAAAGAAAATAACTGTAACTACTGAAGTCAGAGTAACAACTGAAAAACACTTATCAGTAGAAAACATTAATTCATACGCTAGTCCACCTGAACTAAACCCAGCTGAAAAGCTCTGAAAAGGCACATTAAAAAAAATAACTGTGAGAGCGTTAAGTAAACAGTTCCCTTACTGGATTTGCTATAACTGACTAAAACCTTTCTTCCCCTTTCCACATTAAAGGAAAGCCCTAAAACCACATTTTGCATATTTTATTAGTTCAAACCTTTTCTAACATGGTTCCCAGGGCAGACCAAGTCTAACAAACTTTAAAAGATGAATCTAACATTGTTCTAAAATAACAGTATTAGAATCTGGTAGAGTGTGAACAACAGGACTATCAATAAATGTCTACCCTTATTCCCAGATCCAGAATGGAATTTTAAACAATTTTTAGCCCCTAAGATTCACAATTTATTGAACCTGAACTTGCACACCAGCTTTAGTAATCAATGTTACCCATCTCACGCCTCTGACTGCTTTCATCAGAAAGAATAATTGCACATTGGGAGAAAGAAAAACATTTTTGTGACTGTTTTAAAAATCGTAGTTGAAAGTTTCTTGAAAGGTCAAAAAGCTAGTAGTTATCCTGCTAGAAACAGATTAGCAGGCAGAGGGTAGGCAAGGTGGTCAGGGGTGTATGGGAAGTATAATCTATCAGATTGATAGCACCACGATGTATATGGTACAATTATATCTTATCTTCCCAGCCCTGCAACCAAAATAAACCACTTGGAAGTCTTGGAGTCTGATTCTGTTGTCTTTAAGTACACACCCCTTAGGGTGGCGACCCAGGACACACCACACATCTTTTACTTCATGTAATACAAAATCAAAACAAATATAATCAGTATTTTTCCTTTTAGGACTCTCACTGAGACTCTTTGATGTGTTTTCCCTAATCGTTTTCTCTTTTTAATCATCACACTCAGGGGTTTCTCTGAGCTTATAATGGTCTAGTTTTTATGTAACCTCTTCCATGCGGGCGCCTTCCCAAGCTCCCAACACAGCAACTGCTGTAACAGTACACAGCAACACTACACCAAAGAATACCTTGTCCAAATGAAACCAAAAGGGAAATTTAGATGAGTACATTCTGCTTAGGTTGGAATTTTGGCTCAGACACAAGTGTTAACACTTCTGGTCTTGCAAAAAGAAGCTCTAATGGAGATACTGAAAATGAAAGTATCTCTTCTACTTCAAAGCTGAAAACCTGGCCACTTCTATAACAAGTTTTTCTGCTCTGGGAAATTTTACTTAACTATACCCATGCATGAAGGGGAAATCCTTGGTCCTATAAGTTAGCTGTGGGTTTGCCATTCACTTGACTAGACCTGAGACTCCACCAGGATGATTTCGTACCCATGGTACAAAACTAGTTAAATTTCTAACTTCTATATGGCTGCTTGCCAACTTTTCTTTGTCTTCAGAGCAATTATTCACATTTACATTTTATCTTGATTCTCTTTAGCAATATCCCTATTTACATAGAGAATCCTTAAACAGATTACCACATTCTTTTCAGTGTTGCCTAAGAGGTGTATTGGTGTACTACAGTTCTAAAATCTTCCAGATCCACTATTAATAAAATGCCTAAATTTAAAAAGGCACTACGCGAAACTCGCGTAACTGGAACACCTATAAAATGCCCCGTAAACAGCTGCCCTACATCTAAGCTGCCAGTAGATTCATGAGGTTCTAGAGTTAACTTCCATTTATCAGCTAAGATTTACTGATACTGCTGATAGTCATTTCTGTTGTTCTCTGCTGTGCCTTGTCAAGACGCTGCACATGGAGGAAGCAGGAGCTAAGACAAGAACTGGAAACATTTCCTTCACGTGGGAAGGTGCCCTGCTAAGAAACTGCTTATTGAACCTGACAGCGAGCATATAAACAACATTAGAGGGAGTGCTCACACATGTACTCCCAATAAAGGGGAGGACAAGGCAGTGAAAGTCAGAGCTATTACAAGACAAATACAAATTAAAGACACTGGTTTTAATCTCCAGGATATTAAAATATTTTTGAGAGCTCCCAGTGTTTGGGGGAGGAGGGAGGGAGAGAAGGGGGTAGGGGGAGCAGCAAGCTTTACTGAGACTTTTCTTATGGTTTGTATCACCTTTTGTGGGAAAATCATTCTAGAAAAAAGCAACAGAGGATTTTGAAACTAACAGAAAAGCACTTGCTAAAAGGTAGCTTGCTCTTTGCAAAACTTCCCATGAGGCCTGAAAAAGCACCCTGAGCATGCACTGTACCAGACAGCTTTGCATATGAAATGCTGTTTGTTTCAAAAACAGTTGAATACTTTTACCAGGGGGGTTATTTCAGTCAGTTGTCCCCTGATTACTGATCTGTGAGAAGCAAAAAAAGGAGTGACAGCTACCACAAAGATATAAGCATAACTATTAAAGTTCATGGGATTTTCGACATTCCCACTCCTTACCCTGAAACTTTAATCCTTGAGCAAATGCTGCCATATATATTTCCTTTGTTTGGCTGTCTGGTGGGCCACCTGGAAAGCATCAGCACTCTAAGAAAACTGCTATTGTTTATTCGGAATTTCCTTAAAAAAAAAATCTTGCTGTCCATTACCACTTCCCAGAAAGGTATATTGTTCTATCACCACCCGTATCAAACTCAAGTGCAGAGACATGTTTACAGTACGTGCAGCAGCTCAGATAGGCTGGGCTGTTGCAATCCTGTTGCAATCCTGTGCAGAAAACAGAATGTTAACGCTGGCATGCTGCTCCCACGCCCTCCCCTTTTCAGGCTTTACATTAACTCAGTGACACCCTGCTAGGCACAAGGTTTATTTACACAACACAAAGTCTTGAGACGAGCCTTTGTTGAACTGCAACATTGACAAGGCTTAGGAAGCGCTACCGACTATAGTAAAGGTGTATTAAGAATCAACTGAGGACCACATACGAATGAAATGTTTTGGAACTCACTTGATGGAGTTTCCAGCTGCAGCACAATTCTCTTTTAGCCAGAAGCTGTTGGGACAAACTAGGAAAGCTCCTGGCTTCCACGGAGACCCAGTTAATTGCACTAACACAGTGGTTCCACAAGGAGTTTAATCTGGGATACGCTGGTGACACCCTGAAAAGCAGCAAATGCCTCTCTCCATTGAGAAACCATTGAGGTTTTTTGCTGGGATAGATTTGAACGGGATGTATTTCCCAACACACTTCACCTCACGGCTGTGTCAGCGCAAGGGAGGGGACAGCGTGGGAGCAGGAAGAGGGCAGGACTGCCTCTTTTGTCAGCAGTGCGGGCCGAAAGCACTTGGGGAACCGACGACGTCGTAAATTGTGCTGATTTACGTCTGCTAAAAAGCCCTCCTTAGTTTTCCTGAAAAATGATTGCTATATGTATAGCATTTTAAAACTTAACATATGTGTAAAAACAGGCAAGAAAGCTTAGGTGCAGATTTATTGGGTGGAAGTGTCCAAGGGGGCTGTAAGCTTTATCTCCCCAGGACTAGCAATACCCACTCCTGTGAGGAGGAGTGGTTGTTGCACTCACCCTCTCCCCCAAGGGGTGCATAATGCAGAAGAGTTCCTGTGTTTCATGTGATCATCTTCTTGTCAAAGTTTTGGACTAAGTATCACGGCTTTTTCTTTAAAGAAACTATCTGCGTGAATCTGGAGAAGCTGACATGTAATACTTCCTCCTACACAGCATTTTTGACATTAACAACTCCAAATCATTGTCAGAGCCTCTCGCAGCAGAAACTCTAAATGTAAAGAAAAAAACAAAACAAAACACCACCCCTCCAAATAAGCAGGCCCATAGCAACTGGAAGATATTTGGTCAAAATGTCAGAGAGTGACCAGAGAGTGAAAATGGCATAAATCTAAGCATCAGTATGTGCTCTACACAGTCCTGGGTCAGATTCAAAATGCATTACAAGGCTGATGAACCAATAAAAATGTCAATGGTTGATATCCTAAAAGCATATGGGGCCAGTAACAAATATTTCATACCAATAAGTTAATCCTAGATCTTCTTCCAGATGAAATTCCATTCCTTTTCTGTACCTTTTTCCTTAATGCATTTTTTAAAATAAAAATAGTTCGTACCACTTGTACTGCATTTATTCCCCACAGATCCGCATGCTTTACTAGAACTTCAGTCTCATTATGCCCATTTTACAGGCAGGGAAACTGAGCCACAGAGATGCAAAAAGTGATTAAGGGTCATTCAGCAGGGAGGCAAAAACAGGGAAGACTGCAGTTCTATCCCATTTGAGTTTATTCTGTTCTCCTGTTTTTCTTTACTGGTATACAGAAAATGAGATTACTTCTCATTAAACTCACAAGGTTACATTAAAGAGGCGAACAAATTTTTGCTTCACTTTGTAAATTCTCTTGGTTGTCTTGAAGGGATATATATTCCCCACCAGTACTGCTACAGGGTTAGGTAAACACTTTGCAGACCAATAACATGAATGTGAAATGTACCACTGTTCTTATTAGTATTTATGTAATAATCTAGGGCTGAAATTGGCTATCATTGAATTGACCTCAGCTCTTTGACATAAATGCCTATTTGAAGCACCTGGCAATAGCCCGTAAGCATCCACACCCAGAACTGCTTTGTCCGGGCTTGCAGTTTTGCCAGCCACACACCTTTTCCTATACTGACTGTAAGGAACGCAATAACTGGAAAACATCAGCACAAAACATGCTTATATAGAACAAGGCTACGTTGTACCATTAGGTCTTACAACACACGTGCTTAACCTCTCTCACATGACTTACCTGAATCCACAGCCCATTCTTAGCTGAACAGAAGCCTCTGCAAATATGTGCACAGTGCAGCTGGTACCCAGATCTCTAAATACCATGCAGCCATTTTTGGAATGTCTTTCTAGTTGGGCTCCCTAAAAAAAAAAAAAAAAAAAAAAGTTAAAATTTAAAAAAATCTGAATTTCAATTAGCAGCCATCACAGCCCTTAGGCCTTTGCTTTATTATTGTCCTTTTATCCTAAAAATTTTCCTTGATCTCATGAACTTGTTTCTAATATATTCAAGTGTTATGGCTTTTTATATGTTTCATGTGTTCACAACAGACTGTGTAAACAGTCCTGTGAGTTGACCAACGCGTCTGCCAGATGCACTGCCGGCTGTTCATATGCAGTACTTCCTCTAGTGCACATGTGAACAGTGCTCCTGAACTCACTGTAAAAAAACAAGGTCTCGGGTGGGGATCAATACTGACTCTGGACTAAATTTTCCATCTCTGCTTCCTTCTGGAACAAGGGAACATATAGACGCTGCATTGTTAGCAACTGCATACAATTTTTACCGAAGACAAGAGGAAAGAACAGCAATTTTGAGGGTTTCGAGTATCCTGGTTCTTCCCCTATGGAAGTCCTAAGGGGCTGCTGTGGACAAGACCAGGACATTCCCATCCCGTGAGGGGACAGGGCTGCCCGGACCAGTGGGGAGCAGCTACACAGTCGGTGTGTGATACGTCAGCTGTGATCAGAGATCAAGTTGTTTAATCAGATGGGATCAAGGAAGAGTAGCAGTTTAGTAGCATCTTTTTCAAAACGGAGGTCTTTAACTCTGCTTGTGCTTTCAGGTATTGTCCTACCCAGGCCATGCCCTTTCCTCCCTACAATGCCTTCCTTGGCTATTTGGCAACCCTAACTGCTCCCACACCATGACTCCAACACAAATGACTATCATCCAGAGTGAATGTTTCCATTTGAATTACATGAGCAGGCACTCTGTAAACTTCCCCACAGGTTCCGCCACTATAATCCCTGTGAAGAAGCAACCTGCAGGACCTACTTTCACTGTTCAATGCTTTCTCTGTTTATTGCTACTACCGTCAGAAACATTACTCTAATTCAGACAGGTGTGCTTACATCTGCCAGCCACCAGCCACTGGTGACATTCAGTGACAGAAACTCACTGTCCATGTCCAAGCCTGAACCCACAGCATAGGGAAGGAAAGCTTGATTGCTCACTGGAAATCCCCAAGCTCTATGGTGCTTTGCATTAGGCATTTTTGGTCTCATGCAGACTCGCTTCCTTTCCTTCTCCTGTTGCAAGCACTGCTTTATCCCAGGTTGCCAGGAGCCTACTGTTCCAACAGCTGCTAAGACAGAGTGAGGTGTCCACTTTGACAGGATGCCAGATTGTTTATTAATTGAAAATCCAGGCATTTTGTATCCATTCTGAGACCCTAATCAAAACTGATTTTACCAAGGGCTCTGAATGGTTAAATCCAGTTACTCTGAGGCTTTCAGTCACAACTGGCAACCATAAATCAATGCATTTTGTTGCTACTGCTTACTTTAATACGCGTTTATCAAAACACTGAAATGCCAGAAAACTAACTTCAGTTCTCCACAGTGAAACCGCACCTCAGTAATACCTGAACAAATACACACTTCCAGCAGGATCTTTGTCCCCAAACACAGTAAATATCTTTTCAAAGGTGTTCGTCTGCCTCCCCACCACTCAGCATTAGTATGCTTCTATTTGTATGGTAAATTTTTTCATGCTGCCAGCTCACAATGCTGAGCACAGCCGTCTGCTTCCCATATGCCGCACGTCCTCCAGTGCCTCCTCTACTGCTTACCTTCGCTCTTTGAGCTCCCACTGAGGATCAGCTGCTATTCTGCCAGCCTTCTTTGTGTGTAGAGGATTTTTCCGACGGTCAGCTCCACAGGACAGGAACTTTGCCCGATTCTCTATTTCTCGGAGCACCAGCTATGCTATGGTATAGAAATAATGAACACAGAGACATTAATGGTGTGACATATAGATCTGTAACATCCTAAAAACCATGGGGAGCAAGGCCCCAGGGTTTCTTTCAGACTCATCTCTAGACAAGGTAGTTAACTTCTATTTGGTCAGTTTTTTGATGAAGAATTATAAAATACATACAGTTGTTTGAATTAAAAAATATATAGTTCATTACTTATTTGAACATATATTTCTGAACACTTGCGGTGACCACTGAAATCCTCTATAAAGCTAGCTGGGAACAGGAAAAATAATAGTGAGAAATCAAGTGCAACTAAATATTGGGTAAAGAGAAGATCATCCTATCCACTTTAGAGACAATCATATCAAATCTTTTATTCATATGTTGCTGCACATAAACATCCAGGGTTTGAATTGCTCAGGCAGCATTCTTAAGAAAATGGAAAATGTTTTTAGTGGTTCCTCCCTTACTTCTGCAGTTTTTCTCTGTGTTTACAGCCAGTGTTGCTGTCCTGCCCCAGAGGTAACCCAACAGGTCTTGCAAAGTCTCCTAACTTTGCCCCACCTCCATCATTCACAATCTTGTCTCTCTAACCTACTCATTTTCCTCCATTCCACAAACTATTAGTTTCAAAGAAATTCAGAGATTAATTAAAATGATTGGTGGGATGAGTAGGTGAGGGGGACAGGCTAAAGGGCTTGACAAGAAGAAAGATGAAAAGGACTAAACGCATATAGCTTGGTTATGCGATGACTAATTGAGGGTGGAGGAGATGGACACGATATTCATTTACAAGTGCCTATAGTTCTGAGGAGCATTTTTCATGTGCAAACTGAAGACTAGCTCAAGACTAGCTTTTGGTCTTCTTGTACAGATCTGGTTCCAGGGTCCTTCACTTCAAGCTGTGAGTCCCACTCTTCTCCCAGCCTGTGCATTCCCACTCCTCCCTTGTATCCTCAAATACTGATTTTTTTTTTTTTTTAACTTTTTTTTTTTTAATTTCAGCTCAGCTTTCGGACAGATTCAGTTCCTGGATCTCTACCTGGCCACATGAGCCCTAGTGGGAGCAAAGAGCAAAAGGAGAGGCCATGGAAGCTGGGGGTGGATGAGGTGGCACCTCTTTGCCACACCTCTGCTGCGCTGCAGACTTAGGTGGACTTGAACCAACTATGAAAACACACCTTGAGGAACGGGGGAGGAAGTGGGAGCAGGAGCACCTGTGAATTATTTTACTTCCACTTAGCCTAAGGAAGCTCTGTTCCTTGTGCCCTCTCACTCCCAGCTTCTTTTACTGTGCTCTGATGTAGTAAATAAAAGAAAAATATTTGCTCCTTCTGACTCTTCAAACTCTTGTCTCCCTCAGTTGGGGAAACCCACTCCATAGTAATTCCTTAAGCAAGTGAAATGCAGTATGAGAAGATCCAGTAATTCCCACTCTTATTCACTTCATGCAGAAGTGAAGCAGGATATCACATTTGAAAGTATGAAGTGAGAAAAAAAAAATCTGTACAATAAAAGTAATTATATAATAAAATATTGTGGAAACATCTCTGATGAGGGGTAAAAGCAAGATGGTGTAATATATCTAAGTTTAAAGAAAAAGAAAAACTGTATGGAAACAAGCATTTTCTTTCTGTGAGCACTGTTGCCAATATAAAAGAGCAGAAACTGTCATTTATCCTTTTTTCTTTTTTTTTCTTTTTTTCCCAAATGGTCTAGAAATAAGCCAAAAGCATTTGTGATACAGGAGTGAAACAAAACAACAAACCCATTTATTCCTGGACACCAAATATAATTTAGATGGATGTGGTATGTACAAGAAATTTTAATTTGGCCCTGAAAAGCCATTTAATTATTCAGATTATCTGATTGCCTCAGTCAGTCTTGTATTGATTGGAGAACTTTATAAATCAAAATCTGCATTACTGCTGCTCAAAGCATCTGCCTCTCACAGCAACAGAGATGTATAGTTCATTTCCAATCCCTACCCACAAGTTAGTTTATTGAGACATGTAAATGGCTATGGTTTATAAATGGGTTGGTAAGTGTTCTTTCATACTACTAAAGGAATATTTACTTAAGGACATCAGGAAAGGTGGGGGGGGGGGGGGGGGGGAGCCCTAAAGTAATAGCTGTTGAATAAATCAGGGCATAGTCACCAAAATTCCCAGCTCCTTGGCTAACGGCCACGAAGGATCACTGTCTCTCTATTCCCGGGGCCCACTTCTGATCTGTGGCACTCCATGAGTCTCGGGTGGTGAACTCAGGGCACTCAGCTGAAATCTAAGCTGAGACCTCCGTAAGCGCCCGCTCACCAGTCGGTCCCGAATTAGGTAGAAAATCCCCTCGGAGCAGCAAAGAGCATTTGTCTTTGATTTCAGAGCGCTCCTGCTATGCACAACCTTTATGACCAGCTTGACTGTCTCTTGCCAGCCTCGACCAAATAACCTCTAAGTGAGTAGCAATTAAGATAATGAGTGGACTGATGGGTGTCCCCCATAGCTACAGGCCTCAGTAGCAACACGTCTCTGGCAAACTGGAATGTCTAGTCCTGAAACTCCACCTCTGTAAAAGGAAGGAAGTAGAAAACTAAAATGGGTGGAGGGTTTAAAAAAAAAAAAAAAAAAAAAAATTAAATGACTTTAAATGAATCCCTCCAGCCCGATCCAACACTCACTGAAGCTAATGAAAAACTTGCATTGATATCAGTGGGGCTGAACTGGACAGACTGTAAAGGCACAGTTTTCCAGGTTACACAAATATGTATTAAATAGAGTGGTTAAAGCTACATGTTCCTTGTAGTCTGAACTTGGCTTTCTAGGACAAAAGAAACATGCAGAAAAAAACCCAAAAGATAAATCAAAACAGCAAAACTCTAACCAATATGTCAACAATTAATCAGAACAAACTTAATTAGTATTATTTGTCTATACAGAAAACTGACTAAAGCAAATTATTTGCGTGGCTTCCTATGTAACCAGAAAAAAAGCCCCTTTTAGCTTAATTTTAAGATAATTCTTATCTCGCAATAAAAACCTCCACAGAGCAAACTACTTAAAATTCACGTCTTGCATTTCTCCAGAATTTCTTCCCTGCATAGACAAGCCCTTCATAAACATCAAAACTGCACGCTGACATGACAGAGACAGATCATTTATGGACTATCTGGGGGGAGTTTTAACGCAGCAAGCACCGCCACATCAGGTCCGACTAGATACCCTATCTCTGACAGGAGCCAGGAGTGGATACCTGGAGAGGGACACAAAACCAGGGCGCACACAGAGAGGTTTTGCCTCGGGGTGCTCTCCCAGGCACAAGCCATTTGCAGCTTTGGGATTTCCAGAGCCAGAGACACACTGCCTTCGATAGCCCTTAAGGGATCTCTCTTCTGTGAATTCATCTAGTCACTTTAAAACCCCTCAGTTCATGCAGCACTCTTGCCAAGGAGTTCCACAGCTTAACTACAACTCTGTGAAGATGTTTCTCTGGTTTATTCTGAACCTGCCAGTTTCATTTAATGCCCCTTGGCTCTTGCGCCAGAAGAGTCAGTCGCTGGCCTCTATTTATCTTATACGTAAAGATTAAAAAGGAGTTAAACACCTGCTTCTAGCATTCACTGCATTAATGAATTTCAGAGATTTTCTTATGCCTATGCAATAACTTACTGCTGTTTGGCTAAACTATTTGCAGCTGAAGCTACAGCAGCAGTTGAGTAGTTTGAGTTACCTGCAGACAGATGCTGCCTACGTGAAGGTTGTGTGTATACCAACAGCATACAGTGACCCCCCCAATTCCCGGCCAAAACTTCATGTTTTGTGCCATGGACTGTTAACACAAACGTACAATGAAGTGCATGAATTATTTGCATAATTCCAGTTAGCATACAAAGCAACACCAGTGCCCTCCACGTGGTCAAATGAAGTCAGGTGGGAACACCAGGGGAAAACGGAGAAGGAAAAAAAAAAAATCAACAACTTCAAACAAGGGACCTAGACCTTCACTTTTCTTCCACAGCTGCTTGTGTTTCTGTTTGCTTCATTGTTGCTTCCTATACTGTAACCAGTAATTATGTCATTATGTCTAGGAAAAAATAGCACCGGAGAATCTGAAAGTGTATTTTCAAACCTAGACATAAGTTTGTCACCTTCATGTATCACAAAAAGTGATTGAACCCGATAGACCGAGTTCTTTGCTGACATAAAAAGCCGGACCACCCTACAGGTAACAGCTTTGCGTGGCAAGCATAAGGCGCACTTGTTGCACTGTTGGCAAAGTGATAATAACAGAACACCCTTCAGTCCCTGTCCTACCCCGTGTTGTCACCGCCTGTCCTTAGATAGCTGCTCCGCTGTATTCCAGAGGTAGCTGCCTGTCAGCGGTCACGAATTCACACCTCCCCGCCAGAAGGGTGTGTGCGGGGCAAGGTGAGGAGGGGGAAGGTAAGGAAAATGAATACAGGCAGTAGGGCATACCCTTTTACTAGGGCTGTGCCGATGCGTGCCACGCTCCGCGTAGAGCGGTTAGGGCGAACCAGAGATCACCCATCTGTTGCTCCGAGGTGAACGTGCCGGCACAGACTTTTCCCCTCGACTCGGATCCTTCGTCTCCAGCCTTTATTTTCCCTCCCGACTAACCTGTACTTCCACAGTAATACCGGGGCACTCTTTCTAAAATTAGGCCGTCGCTGTCCCCTCCCCTTGGAGGACGAGTTTGGAGAAACCCATCTGGAAGCAGGCATTTTCCTGTCAGGCTTTACCCCCCCCCCCCGTTATCCTGGCACGTTTTTGAGACCGGGAGCCGACACCCGCGATCACTGCAACGGCAAAGCCGTCCCCTCGCGTACACCCCCGCGGCGATCAGGCGGTATCGGACGAAACCCGCACCACCCGCGGGGG